AAAACCGACGATGACGTCGGGCAGCCCGCATAAGGACCGCATGCTTGGAATAGGTAATATACAGAGCGTGGGCAGGGGATGGGAGTGAGCGGTGCGGCGTGAGCGAGCAGTGCGCAGAATGGGTTTAGGGCGCGGAATGGCAGCGAGGTGCGGAACGGAGGGGAGAGAGGCGCGCGCGGAGTAAGTCACATTCACTGCGCGGTGATCCACGGAATGAGAGTGCGACGCAGGGATCCAAGCGGATAGGGCTTACTAGTGTCGGACCAACCGAGGACTGTGCGTGTGCGTGGGAGTGCGAGTGCGAGTGCACGGAAGAGATAGGGTCGCGGAAGAGCGTCTGGCTCTCTGAGAGAGGAGGCAGCACGGAATGCGAGGGGCGAAGGGTGCAATGCTGTGCGCTGCGCCAATGGAGAGTGTGATGGGCGGAGTGAGCGTGTGAGGCGCGGAGTGACTCGTGCGTGACGCGACGATCAGACTGAAGGACGCGCAGTGTGGCAGTCTGTGCAATGAATCGAGAGTGCGAGGGCGTGGGGAGAAGAGTGTGCGCCGCGGAGTCCGAAAAAGAGCTTAATAAAACCGCAGAAGATATGCGTATTAATCTGAAAAGCAGAGCGTGGTGCGGGAACAAGGAAGGTGCAAAATAGGCGTACTAGCATCACGGAATAAGAACTGCAGAATCAGAATGACTTCTGAGGCGCCTCAAAAGTTGGAATGAGAGTTTCAGGGGGGCGGACTGATGGAGAAGGGAGGAGGGAGAGATAGAGGATGGCGAGTGGGAGAGGGTGTGTTCCGCGGATTACGGAGGAAAGAGGCCAGCAAAAGATATGAAAGACGGAAGCCAGGGTACGGTATGATTGACGGAATGATAGCACGAGGGGTTTTTGGCAAGGGGCGAAAGTTGCGGTGGCGACTCGGTAAGCCGAACCAGCTGAGGCTATTTCGAAAATTTTCGTTTGGTACGGAATGGGAGGGAAAAGGGCTACGGTCTCGGGTCAAGTGAAAGGTTTGTACGCTATGCTGAGGAATCCTTACAGGGTTACTTTAGGCATCCTTGATGACGTATGAACTTATTTCAATGAGCATATTTTAAGCGCTTTATAATCACGTCACATACAATTACCGTAATACCCCGGATATAAGCGCACCTGCGCTTATAATAAAACATGTTTTTTGGGGGGGTGCGCTTCTAATTGAGTCAGATTTATAAGCGCATGCGCTTTTATAAGGGAAAAAATGAAATTCACTTTTTAACATACCAAATTGAAGCTCACATTAAGGCGATTTCAACCGACCACGCACCGAGTGGGATCGTGCATGGTTTTCAGGCAGAAACCGTAGCGGTTCGGTTTCCCACCGCACAAACTTGTCTGGAACCATCGAACGTGACAGCCGTGACGAGGATGTTGCCGTGCGGGCCAATCAGAGCCGCATGCGCTGCGTGGGCATGTGCAATCGGGCAGAACCATCTCGAAGGGTGGGGAAGATTCCCTGCCAGCGCAGCGTATATGCTGCCACGCAGGTTCCTCTACGGGAGTAGGCGGGGGTTTCCTGCCTATCATCGACGAGGACCCCGAGCCGCCAACCAGCAGGGGTCCCCGTCGTTGCCCATTTCTGCACCCTCGTCTTCATTTTTTCCATTCAGTTTCCAATCTAGCCCGCCTGGCTGGCGAAGCCATGGTGGAATTCAGTGGGACTCACTTCCTTTTCAAGAAAAAACCACGCCGCACATGGCGACTTACCGAGGACGGGTGGTTTACCCGTGAGCCACCATCGCCTCCTGTGCCACCGGATCCCCCTGCACCCCCTGCTCCTCCTGCGCCTCCTGCGCCTCCTTCTCCACCTACCCCTCCTGCTCCTCCCGCACCTCCCGCTCCTCCGAATCCGCCTGATTCTGTTACGACAGGTGCGCACCAACGGCCCGTGCTGCAGCTGTACTTACCAGCGACGTTCGACGAGTGGTTGGCTGAAGCGGACACACCCAAGGCCCCCGTGTCAGAATCCCAGCCACTAACCACTGGGATAAAATGGTTTGTTTGTGTAGCGGGTGAGTGCGCCCATAACCCCCCAGGCCAACATGCCTGTAACCCTCCCCTAGGATCAATCGGGGATCACCAGTGGACCTCTGACACCCCCCTGCACTGGGATGCCCGAGGTGCATACACCGGGATTCGAACCCGAGACCTTCGCTCTGATACCATGTCAGAATCCCAGCCACTAACCACTGGGATAAAAGGGCTTATTTGTGTAGCGGGTGAGTGCGCCCATAACCCCCCAGGCCGCCATGCCTGTAACCCTCCCCTAGGATCAATCGGGGATCACTAGTGGACCTCTGACACCCCTCTGTACTGGGATGCCCGAGGTGCATACACCGGGATTCGAACCCGAGACCTTCGCTCTGATACCATGTCAGAATCCCAGCCACTAACCACTGGGATAAAAGGGCTTGTTTGTGTAGCGGGTGAGTGCGCCCATAACCCCCCAGGCCAACATGCCTGTAACCCTCCCCTAGGATCAATCGGGGATCACCAGTGGACCTCTGACACCCCCCTGCACTGGGATGCCCGAGGTGCATACACCGGGATTCGAACCCGAGACCTTCGCTCTGATACCATGTCAGAATCCCAGCCACTAACCACTGGGATAAAAGGGCTTGTTTGTGTAGCGGGTGAGTGCGCCCATAACCCCCCAGGCCGCCATGCCTGTAACCCTTCCCTAGGATCAATCGGGGATCACCAGTGGACCTCTGACACCCCGATGAGTGCATCCAAGCTCCGACGCCTGCACCACGGTGGGGACAACCAGAAGCCTGCGCGTGGGACGAGTCGGCTGTGGGCGCCGACGATGATGTGGCCGCCAACAAACATGACAGCGGCGCCGGCGAAGCTGGAGGTGACGAGGAGGACGTGTTCCCAGACCGTGATACAACTGCCGAGGACGATGACGGTGTGGAGTCCTGGTGGCGCGACGCACCACGTGCGAAGATGCCGATACCGACGTATCCGCCCGTTAACAAAAAACGCCCCCACCCGTCTTCCGAGAACCGTGATGCCCGCCCCCCTTCCCCCAGGCACAAGCCGACGCAACATAAGCGGCAGTCCTACACCGCCCAGGAGAAATTGAGGTGGCTCGTACGGCTCGAGCTTGCGGCATCGGTTAGCGAAGTGGCGCGGGAGTCCGGCATACACCGAAAATGCCTGACGGAGTGGAAGAACCAAGGCGCTCAAAGCTGCACACGGCGCACGGATGCGGCTTCATGGCCGCGGGAGGTCGTCTTAGTACCGACCTATGGAGTTGAAGGTGTACGCGCAACTCCTCGACTGGCGACGCCGCGGAGTTGCGGTTTCGGTCGGTCGGCTGCAGGAGTGGTCGAAAGAAGTGATGAAGGTGTTGTTCCCTGACGTCAAGTGGAAGGGCAGTCAGCGGTGGACGGAGCGCTTCCGCAAGCGGTGGAACCTCAGCGTGCGCATGAAAACAAAGGTGGCTCAGAAGACACAGGAGCATAAGTGGTTCGCTTGTCGTTGAATTTGATGTAAATCCGTTTACTATTTTGTTCTTTCTTGCATGTATCCCGTGTGCCTTACTAATCCGGCTTACTCTGTGTTCTTCCCTCCCTGTGCGCAGACGTGGAGGAACAGTGCAAGGGGTTCTGGCAGTACGTGCGCGACGCCCGGCATGAATACGACATTGACAACCGCTACATCATCAACGCCGACCAGACACCGCTGTGGTTGGAGATGCCGGCGACGACCACCGTGGAGCAGACGGGCGTGAAGTCGGTGCCCATCCGCAGCGGTGGGTATCAGAAGGAGAGAGTCACCGTGATCCTTGCTGGCGTGCACAGCGACGGGCGAGAAGTTGAAGCCGTGGGTGTTTTTCAAGCGCAAGACACTCCCCAAGGGAAACTTTCCGAATGGTAAGATGATGTCGCTCTTGTTTTTGACGATATCAACAGATTGGTTCTAACCCGTCGGCTTTCTACGTGCAGATGTTGTGGTCGGCTGCCAAGCGAACGGGTGGATGGAGGCCGCGGGCGTCATCGAGTGGCTCAACGTCGGCGTGGTGCCCTTCCTCAAGCCGAAATTCGGCCTGCAGAGTCGTAGCGCCATGCTGGTGCTCGACTCCTACCGCGGTCACCTGACACCCGAAGTCAAGGCGAGATTCGCGGCGCTCAACATCGTGCCTGCGATCATCCCGGCGGGATGCACGGCAGACCTGCAGCCGCTCGATGTGTCGATCAACAAGAGCTTCAAAGCAAGCATTCGTCAGCAGTACCAGAATTGGCTTGAGCAGGACGGCATGAACATCCTGACGCCGGCAGGTGAGTGACGACATGTCCTCCAGTCTCCTCATCTTGTGCTTGTATGGCTGTTTATGGACTCATGTATCCCCCGCCCCCTTCCGTGTGATGCAGGGAACATCAAGAAACCAGCCCCGGAGGTGGTGCTCAAGTGGATTTCACGGGCGTGGAAGGCTGTGCCCGCCGACCTGATCAAGAAAGCCTTCCTCACGTGCGGCATCAGCAACGCCCTCGACGGGAGCGAAGACAATCTGGTCATGGCGCACCGCAGAGGCCAGCTGTCCCATGAGGTGGAGGTTGACGACGACATCCAAGCAGATGGTTTCTGGGGCAACAACTCCACAGAGCCTGAGTCGGACGAGGAGGAAGAATAGGCTGTAGGGTAGACTAGGCAGGATGAAAGGTGTGTAGGGCTAGAGAGTAGATGGCCCTCGTGTATGTGATTGTTTTTGTTAATGATAAGTTTAGAAAATGTAGGCTAGGTTGTTTAGAATAAAAATATTTTTTTATTATTTTTTAATTTTAAGGGTGCGCTTGTAATAAGTCACGATTTTCCAAGGGGTGCGCTTATAATTGAGGATCGGCCATAAGCGCATTGCTCCATATACAAGCGCATGCGCTTTTAATAGGCCTGCGCTTATATCCGGGGCCATACGGTACTAGATATAAGAGCACCGACCGTGCCCTGAAAATCTCCATTTGTTCACATCTTCTCCTGGAGTAGCCTTTCCACATCAATCGATCTTAGCGCCTTGTACTTCCCCACTCCCAGGTCTCTCGGCAACCGTAGAGATCCAATCCTAACTCTCTTCAACCCAAGCACCTCCAAACCAGCAGCTTCGGCAAGCCTCCGAACCTCCCTGTTCCTCCCCTCCGCCACGACCACACGCACCCGTTCCCTCCCCTTCACTCCTCCACTTCCTCCTCCGCCCCCTTTACTGTCACTATCTGTTACAAGGTCGAGGGCTACAGGTGTGCAGAGTACACCATCAACGTCCGTCCCTGCTGCCATGGTTGCCAGCTGGCGCTTGGTGATTGGCCCCTGCACTGTGAGAACGTACCTGCAAGAAAACAAGGGGAGGTGTTACACAACAAATCAAACAAACGAATAGGCCAGGCCAGACGCCACGGTAAGAGCGGAAAGGTAAGGAGACAGGTGGTCAGGTTGCAGAAACAAGGCACGAGGCACAAGGAGACGGACAGAGATATGTTGAGGTGATCGGTACTGGGAATGTGAGAAAGAAAAGCTAAGGGCAGGAATTGGACCTCTGGAAGACGAGAGTGAGGAAAGGGGAAGTGAGGTGAGAGAGGGCAGGGGAGGGGAGGGGAGGGAAGTGAAGGTTAGGCAGCCAGAAAAAAATGACAGAACCAGGAAAAAAGGCGGAAAGGGGCAGATTGTGTGCATTGATGGCCAGGCATTGTAAAATCGAAGAACCCAACCCCTCAAACGTACTCCTTAGTAAGCCCAGCAGAGGGGTGTGCGATCTGCTGCGCGAAATTTCCGTCGTTGGTAACCAGCAGCAGCCCTGTCGTCTGCACGTCCAGCCTCCCCACAGTGAATAGCCGTGGCCTGGGGACTCCTGGATTTCTCTTCTCCCAAACCTTCAAATAATCCTCCACCAAGCTAACCGCCGTCTTCTCAATACCGCCGCCGCTGCCGCCGCCGCCGCCGCCGCCGCCGCTGCCGCTGCTGCTGCTGTCGCTCGAATCATCGCTAAACCCTGAACCCTCAACCCTGCCGGGTCGTGTTTTCCCTCCGCTGCTTCTGTCGCGACCTGAGGGTTTAGGCGACTGAGGGGAAAAGGAACGTGACGAGGAAACTTCCTGCTGGGGAGTGTTGGAGCAGATATACCCCTTGGGTTTATTAACCATGAAGTAAAGCCTAGGCGGCGCCTTACGCGGCAGCGATTTTCCGTCCACGTAGATCGAGTCTTTCATCGGATCGACCGCGGTTTGCGGGACTATACACGTGTTACCGTTCACGGTTACCCGCCCAGCGAAAATGATGACTTCGCATGCGCGCCGCGACGCGATCCCCGCTGCGGCTAGGACTTTGCTCAAGCGCTGCCCGCGCTGCGCGGCTTCGCGCTCCGCGCTGCGGAAGCGCTCGTTGAAAAAGCGCCGCGCGGCCTTGGAGTAGCGCGGGGCGGAAGTCGGTCCCGCGGGCTTTTCCCGCGCGCGCGGCCTGCTGCTGGCGGAGGCGCTGCTTCCGCTGCTGGCGCTGCTCTTGGGGGAGCTCGCGGAGGACTTGGCGGAAGAGACGGGGGAGGCAGGAGGGGAGGGGGAAGGGGGACCGGGAGCGGAGTCGATTGGGGGACGCTGTGTGGTAAGCGAGAGTTGACCGGTTGGGGAGAATACGAGGAGCGGAACCGCTGGTCTGCCACTAACGGGTCTGCTGCTAACGGGAGCGTTGCTGCCAGATGAATGTCTGCTGCCGCTGCTGCTATTGGTGCCTCCCCCCGCTCTGCTTCCGCTTCCGCCACCGCCAGCGCCGTCGCTGGCGGAAGCAGTAGAAATCGATTTGACCGCGGCAGTTGGCTGCCAGCTGGCCACGTGGCAGGGGATCGCACGTGGAACGAATGAGGTCGCCCCACGTTGGAAAGAGGACTGCGAGGAGCTGGCGAGAGAAGGAAGGGGACACGTAGACATTGACCTTATTGGAAGAAAATTATAACGAGGGACTCGATATAGAGTGGCACTGGGGCTCGTAGCGAGGCGCCTCACAGCAGCGGCGGAGGACGAGGCGAGATGGTGCGACGCGGACTGCCATGAGCAAGCCATGGCGACGTTACGTCGCGAACAATGGCGAATCAGCGAATGGCGAACTAGCGAATGTCAATCGACGAACGGCGAGTGATAAATGCAGCAAGGGGAGCGAGCAGAAATGGACTGGATGACTGAACAAGCTCGCAAAATCTCGGTCCGCGCAAACCCTAATCAGTGACGACTCTCGACGAGACTCCGCTCCGACGGTGAGACGAGAACAGCTATCGAAGTAGACTTCGGTTGATTGACAACAACGAAGCTCGAGAAAAGGAAGCGGAGCCTAGGAATGAGGACAGCCGAAAGTGGCTGCGTTGTTTTGGGAGGGATGAGGGGAGTGAGCCAGAGGACGGACGCCATACAAGCAGGTACGGGATGAAGCTTCTGCATCTACATAATAGAAGCGGTTAAATCTCCAAGTTTACTTTTGACCTTGACATTACACCCATGTGGAGTGCCCAAGGCAATCCGCGTAATATAACATGCAGAATTCATCCACATCACGTTATTATAAGTTAATCCAACAACATACCGTGGCAGAACACACATGGCCAAAACTAGACTTAGTCCCCCACACTTGGTCAAACCGCCTGTAGCACACCGAGCATTCACCCACTTGTTTGTTAGCAAGCACACCAGACGAAACATTGCGTGGCTCGCTCCCCATAAGTTAGAAATTTCCCCCCTTTGTAGGAGGGAAAAGAGTCAATGTTATTCCCCCTCATAAGGGGTTAGGGGAAAGGGGGATGGGGGAGGGGGGAGGGGGGATAGTCGATGTTCCCCCCCTTTTTGCGTCTGTACCGAGACCTGCAGTCGAAACAGCCCCACCACCAGGCCATCCATACTGGGCGGACATCTTGAATCCTGCATGCCCGCACTCCTTAGCCAGCACATCAAGCATGCGCACGACCATGCGCCTCACCGCACTCCACCGTGCACCACCGCGGTCCCTCAGACCTCCCTCTTTACTGCGCTTGCAGTGAGTCTTGCAGCAGGAACAGCCTCACTACAAGGTCCTCCATACTGGGTCGGCACCGCAGGTCATCCTGCATGCACTCCTTAGCCAGCACATCAAGCATGCGCACCACCATATGCTGCGCCATTCTGCCCATTCTCCACGAAAGTCCGCCCCCTCTTAGTGAGCCTGCAGCGAGTCCTGCGGCCGGAACAGCCTCACCACTAAATCCTGCTTATTGGGCCGACACAGCGGATCTTCCTGTATGCACTCCTTGGCCAGCACATCAAGCATGCGCACCACCATGTGCCTCACCGCACTGCACCACTCTCCACCACAGTCTGTTCCCCCTCACTGAGCCTGTAGCGAATCTTGCAGCCGGAACAGCCTGACTACAAGGTCCTGCATACTGGGGCGACACCTGGGATCATCCTGCATGCATTCCTTAGCCAGCACATCCAGCATGCGCACCACCATGCGCCTTGTGGCACTGCCGCACTCCGCGCTGCGGGCAAGGTCGTCAGTGTAGGGCTCGGCCCAGTCAAAGAGGGCCTCTGCTCCGTGTTGCTGCGCTGTGCTGTGTGCGCCCTGCCGGCCCGTGAGCAGCGAGAAGAGCACTACTCCGAAGTCAAACGCATCCTTCCCCATGCCCTCCGCTCCTGCTAGTAGTGGGAGGGGGACCAGAAGAGGGGAGGCACGAACGGACAGGGGAGGGGAGAGGGGTTGAGGAGGATGGGAGGGGGCAAGGAAGCGAGCAAGGTGGTCAGTCAAAGAGGGCCTCTGCTCCGTGTTGCTGCGATGTGCTGTGTGCGCCCTGCCGGCCCGTGAGCAGCGAGAAGAGTACTACTCCTAAGTCAAACGCGTCCTTCCCCATCCCCTCCGCTCCTGCCAGGAATGGGAAGGGGGTCGGGCGGGCCGGGTTGCGGAAGAGGCGGAAAGGAAGGAGAGGGGAGTAGAGGTGAGAAGGAGAGGGGAGTAGAGGTGAGAAGGAGAGGGGAGTAGAGGTGAGAAGGAGAGGGGAGTAGAGGTGAGAAGGAGGGAAAAGGGCAAGCAGGGAGGTCGTCAGTGTAGCGCTCGGCCCAGTCAAAGAGGGCCTCTGCTCTCCACAGCACAGCAACTGCAGCCACTCATTAGAGGCCTTTGAGGCGCCTCTAAAGGGCTCGGCCCAGTCAAAGAGGGCCTCTGCGCCGTGCTGCTGCGCTGTCCTGTGTGCGCCTTGCCTGCCGGTGAGCAGCGAGAAGAGCACCACTCCAAAGTCAAACACGTCCGCTCCTGCAAGTAGTGGGGAGGGGGAGTGGGGGGTGGGGGTCGGGAGGAAGGGATGGGGCAAGGTGGGAAACCTTGAGCAGCAAGAAGGGCACCACCCCAAAGCTAAACGCGTCCTTCCCCATGCCTTCCGCTCCTGCAGGTAGTGAGGAGGTCAAGCAATTGAAGCGGGTGAAGTGAGCAACGCAAGTCAAAATAGTGCAGGATGGAGGGTACTCACCCTTTAGACTTGTCTTGGACCTCCCTTTGGCCAATACCCCCGCCAGCCCATAGCCGGTCAACGGAGCCTTATGAGTTGACTAGAAGTTAACCTCGTTAGAGTCTCACCCTGCAACAATGTAACCTCATTACAATGTCACACAGGGGCGGCGGCACTCACCCTTGAGGGTCTTCTTGGACGACCCTTTGGCCAGTATTGCCGCCAGCCCATAGCCCGTCAGCAGAGACGTGTAGCTCTGTGGAGAGATGAGGGAGGGAACAGACAGAGAAATGAGGCACATAGAATGCGTGAGGCACATGGAGAGTCGGAGACATATAGATGGGAGCACAATACATTAGACATGGATTGACCACCCGCCCATAGCCGGTCAGCAGAGCCGTGTAGCTCTGTGGAGAGAGAGAGATGAGGGAGAGAGTACACAGAGCAAGTATGAGGCACATGGAATGTGTGAGGCACATGGAATGTATGAGGCACATGGAATGTATGAGGCACATGGAATGTATGAGGCACATGGAATGTATGAGGCACATGGAATGTATGAGGCACATGGAATGTATGAGGCACATGGAATGTATGAGGCACATGGAATGTATGAGGCACATGGAATGTATGAGGCACATGGAATGTATGAGGCACATGGAATGTATGAGGCACATGGAATGTATGAGGCACATGGAATGTATGAGGCACATGGAATGTATGAGGCACATGGAATGTATGAGGCACATGGAATGTATGAGGCACATGGAATGTATGAGGCACATGGAATGTATGAGGCACATGGAATGTATGAGGCACATGGAATGTATGAGGCACATGGAATGTGTGAGGCACATGGAATGTATGAGGCACATGGAATGTATGAGGCACATGGAATGTATGAGGCACATGGAATGTATGAGGCACATGGAATGTATGAGGCACATGGAATGTATGAGGCACATGGAATGTATGAGGCACATGGAATGTATGAGGCACATGGAATGTATGAGGCACATGGAATGTATGAGGCACATGGAATGTATGAGGCACATGGAATGTGTGAGGCACATGGAATGTGTGAGGCACATGGAATGTATGAGGCACATGGAATGTATGAGGCACATGGAATGTATGAGGCACATGGAATGTATGAGGCACATGGAATGTATGAGGCACATGGAATGTATGAGGCACATGGAATGTATGAGGCACATGGAATGTATGAGGCACATGGAATGTATGAGGCACATGGAATGTATGAGGCACATGGAATGTATGAGGCACATGGAATGTATGAGGCACATGGAATGTGTCGTGATGCAGGTCCAGCCGAACCTTCCTCATTGCAGCCTTCTATCCTCTTTCTCTCCTCTTCCCTCCTTCCCCTTCCTTTACTGTCCCTTCCCCCCAGCAGGTGATCCATTCCGCCCCTTGTTCCTCCTGACATATGTAATGAGCTTACTCTCCTCCCCTCCACGTGTACCAGGCGACCCAATGAACATGTCTTAACTCCCTCGCAAGGGCTCAGTCAGATTGCTCCTGCTTCTCCCTACTGCTAGCTTCCTTTGGCTTAGGAAAACAAGATTACAGTAAGAAGAGAAACATACAAGCAAAAAGCGAGAAGCCAGAGTGCTACCCCGGCTACATTCCCTCCTCCTCCTGCCTAGGAGCCTTCCTTCCCTCGCTAGCTCTAGTGCCAAACGCGAGTCAGCTGAGCTGCTCGCGATGGTTCCAAGGTGCTAGCTGGGCCCCACTGGCCCACTAGGCATGCACTGCCTTCCAGCTGGAATCGAGTTCCTAGCCTGGAATCGCATTCCCAGCTGGAATTGCATTCCCAACCTGGAATCGAATTCCCAGCTGTAATCGAATTCCCCAGCTGGAATCGAATTCCTCCTTCCACACCAACCTCCCTGTAGTCCCCTGCACTCGGCTCTGTAGCGTATATACAGTACATACCACGCACACAAAAAGAAATTAGAGTACATAACCAGAAATGCACCCTTACCTGGCTGCTGTGTAATTCACACCTTAGCCACCGGCTAGGTGTTAATAACGCGACAGCTGTCGTGATGCAGGTCCAGCCGAACCTTCCTCATTGCAGCCTTCTATCCTCTTTCTCTCCTCTTCCCTCCTTCCCCTTCCTTTACTGTCCCTTCCCCCCAGCAGGTGATCCATTCCGCCCCTTGTTCCTCCTGACATATGTAATGAGCTTACTCTCCTCCCCTCCACGTGTACCAGGCGACCCTGCCCCCTCCCGTGCCTGAGCAGCAGCTCCTGCAGCTCGGGTCACGGGATTCTTAGCCTGAATCTGCACTCCCTTTGCTCTAGCCACATTCGTCGCATGCTCCTTGATATTCCTTCCGCGCTGGTCCTCCAGCACCAACACTCCCGACCCCCGTACTTCCTTCACCTTCCACCGTTCGGGACCCACAGCTAAGTCCAGCGTGTCCTTCTTCGCCTTCCTCAGGTGTACCTCTTGCCCCGCTGCTATAGCCTCTCTCTGCTTTCCGTTACCCTCTTCCTTACGCTGCTGATATCGACGGGCATCCCTCAGCTGAGCCACGTGCAAATTATCCAAGGCTGCACGTGTCAGCTCCCTCAGATACCGAGCCCTTTTCTGTGCTACTTCGGCCCATAAACCTGGCTCATCTGCCTCCACGGCCACTGACAACAGCTTCGGCGCATCCACGGGTAAAACTGGGTCTCGACCGTATAGCAGATGGTAGGGTGATAGATCCTTTAGGGCAGACTGCTTTGCAAACCTGTACCCCGCCAGGATCCAGGGGAGCTCCTTATCCCAGTTCCTCTTGTTATTCTCCCCGTATGCCCTCAGTCCCTTCTTCAGGGTTTGTACCATTCGTTCAGTCAACCCATCCGACTGCGGGTGATACCTGGAAGTCACCCGATGGGTGATTCGGTGCTCTTTCAGCATCTCCTCAAAGTTACCTTGGAATTCGGTTCCCTGATCCGTCAGCACCTCCCCGCAAGCTCCGTACCTGGTGAGCACCTCTTGCACGAAGGCCTCCGCAATCAAGCTGCTATTCTTGCTGGGCAAAGCCCTGGCTTCCACCCACTTGCTGGTATGCTCCATCATTACCAGGATGTACTGCTTACCCTTGGTGGACAGAGGTAATTCTCCTGCCAAGTCCAATGACCAACGGTACCCCAAACCTCGGATCGGTAGGGACTGCAGCTCGTCTCTTTCCCTCTCCAAAGCAGCCTTGTTTCGCTGGCAGGCTTCGCAAGATGCCACCATTGCAGCCATGTCTTTCCTCATGCCCGACCACCAGTACATCGTGCACAGCAGCTGCCGAGTCCTAGCCATTCCGTAATGCCCTAGTTTCCCATGTACCTTCAACATGATTCTCTCCCTGTCTTGCGGCTGTGGTACGACTCGCCATCCTTCCGTGGTGCGCAGTTGTAGCTGATCCTGAAACCATCGGTAATGCTGCCCCCTAGCCCTGGCTCGTTCACTCACTCCTGAGTCGTCTACCGGCTCCCCTTTGATCCACCCCATAGTCTCCCGATCCTCCCACACATCCACCTGCCGCTGCTCTCCCTTCTCTTGCCCCCAGGTCGCTTCAGCCACCTGCGCTAACGCTATCAGCTGTGCAACTGGCTGCAGTGGAGGCGGGTTCCTAGATAACCCATCCGCGTGTTGCAGTGTCTTGCCCGGTCGGTGACGGATGTCGAAGTCGAATCCCAGCAGTTTGATTGCCCACCTGGCGTTCCTGCCCGTCAGTTCTTGGTTCTTCATCAACCATAGCAAGGCCTGATGGTCGGTCACTAGCGTGAAGTGTCGGCCTTGCAGGTACACCTTGAAGTGGGTGATTCCCCACACGGCGGTCAGTCCTTCCCCTTCGTATGAGCTGTAATTAGCTTCAGTAGGGCTGCAGCTACGACTGGCAAATGCTACGACTCTCTCCTCTCCGCCTATCTCCTGACAGAGCACTGCCCCCATCCCCATACTGCTCCAGTCGGTGTACAGGACGGATGGTGCATCCGCCCGCGGTATCTGCAGCAGGGTACCCGTCTTCACTGCTTCTAGCAGATCTTGCCTGGCTGCTTCTTCAGTCTCTCCCCACTGCCAACTCTTCCCCTCCCTGAGCAGTTGGTTCAAGGCGTGTGCTCGGCGGCTGAAATTCGGCACGAACTTCCTGTAATAGTTCAGGAAGCCAAGGAGCGCCCGTAGCCCAGATTTATCCTTCGGTGCAGCCAAATCCTCCAGCACCTTGACTTTAGCTTCCTGTATCGCCAGTCGGCCCCCCCTCACCTCAAACCCCAGGTACGCCACTGTGCGGCGGGCTATCTTGCACTTGTCCGGGTGGCACGTAAGTCCTGCAGCTGCTATCGCCTCCAAAGTCTGCTTCAAGTCCTGCACGTGCTGTTCGTCACTTTCACTAAAGATGAGCACGTCGTCAATGTAGCAGGCTGCTGCTGGGATTCCCTTCAGTACCTGATCCATAGCCCGTTGAAACACGGCTGGAGCATTGCGCACCCCAAACGGCATCACGTTGTATTCGTACAGCCCGTCCACTCCGTGGAAAGCTGTTTTCCGCTTGTCCCCCTCTTTGATAGCGATTTGGTTGAACCCCTGCCTTAAGTCCAGCGTGGAGAAGATCGTTGCTCCTTCTAGTTTATCGAAAATCTCCTCCGCTGTCGGCATGGGATATCGGTCCGGTTGGGTGATCTTGTTCAGGTCCCTAAAATCCCCGCACATCCGCTTCGCTAACACTTTCCCCGTGATGTCTTTTCTAGTGGCTACTACTGTGGCCGCGGCATAACTCGACTCCGACGGGCGTATTATCCCTGCTGCCAGCAGCTCTTCGCATTTTTCCTTGCAGATAGCCGCATCTTCAGCATTCATCCGCCTCCTGCGCTGATAAGTGGGCAGCTCTGTGGTTAAGTTTAACTCCAGCTCTCCCCCTTTGTACCTTCCTAGCTCCTGTAAGTTGTATGCGAAAGTGCCTCTGTGCTGCTGCAGTACCTGCCTGATAGCTTCCGCTGCCTCCTTCTTTATATTGGCTCCTAACTCCCATCCCTTGCCTGCTTCCGTGTCCTTGACTCCTGCCTGCGCCTCTGCATGTGTCCCTTTTGTAGCCACCTTCTCTACTGCTGCGTATGCTGCTTGTTTATAGCACTGACCCCCTCCTCTCTCCTGTTTCCTTCCCTGCTGCCCTGGACCCTTCCTCATTTCAGTCACCAGCCATCTCAGCGAATGCTGATCGATAGCCCTGCCCAAGGCTGCTCGACGAGCCTCTTCCCCCACTCCCTCCGCTGCAGTGGCTCCCGGAAAGTACCCCATGGCCAACTCGC